TGGAGCTTGCATGGGGTGTGCATGGGGATGATGCATGGGGTGCTTGTGGGTGCTTGTGGGGCATGCATRCAGTGAGTGYGGARCATTCATGGAGTGTGCATGGGGCARCAYGGAGCATGYGTGGGGCGAGCATGGAGTGAGCATGGGACATGCGTGGGGCTAACACGGGGTGAGCACGCAGCAAGCATGAAGCACGCATGGGGCAGGCGTAGGGCGAGCGTGGGGCAGGCATGGGGTGTGCAGAAGAGTGCAAGGGGCAGGCATAGGGTGTGCACAGGGTACATGCATGGAGCATGCATAGGGTGTGCACAGGGTACATGCATGGAGCACGCAGGGAGCATGCATAGGGTGGGAATGGGGTTTGCACAGGACATGCACGAGTGTGTATAGGGTGTGCATGAGGCATGCACGGGGCTGCATGGGGCACGCAGCAGCAGCCCGGGGCGAGTTGGGCCGGGCTGAGCCTTGCGCAGGGCCTTGCACCCCTCTGCATGCAGGGACTCACCCGGTGGCTCCGCTCCCCGGTCCCCATTGGTGACGGTGGCAGCGGGGTGGCCCACGGGRAGGCTCCTCACGGCCCCGCGCTCCGCTCAGTGCATCCACAGGGACCTGGCGGCCCGGAACGTGCTGGTGACCGAGGACAACGTGATGAAGATCGCTGACTTCGGCCTCGCCCGCGACATCCACCACATCGACTACTACAAGAAGACGACAAACGTGAGTGCCGGGCGCGCGGGGCCGGTGCCGCCGCCGCGGCGCCGAGCGCGCTGAGCCTCGCTCGCCCCGCAGGGCCGCCTGCCGGTGAAGTGGATGGCGCCCGAGGCGCTTTTCGACCGCATCTACACGCACCAGAGCGACGTGTAAGTGCGCGGCGGGCGGGCGGGCGGCGTGGCGCATGGCACGTGGCGCGGGCTGACGCGCCCCTCGCAGCTGGTCCTTCGGCGTGCTGCTCTGGGAGATCTTCACGCTGGGCGGCTCGCCCTACCCCGGCGTGCCCGTCGAGGAGCTCTTCAAGCTGCTCAAGGAAGGGCACCGCATGGACAAGCCCAGCAACTGCACGCACGAGCTGTGAGTGGGGCCGGGGCGGTGCCGCGCGCCCGGTGCCGCGCGCCCGGCGCCGCCGCGTCACCCTGTGCGTCCCCGCAGGTACATGATGATGCGGGACTGCTGGCACGCGGTGCCCTCGCAGAGACCCACCTTCAAGCAGCTCGTCGAGGACCTGGACCGCGTCGTGGCCATGACGGCCAACCAGGTGCGCACGGCGGCACCGGCGCCGGGTCCCCCCGCGCGCCCCTGCACCCCAACGCGCTCTCCCGCCCTGCGCAGGAGTACCTGGATCTCTCCGTGCCGCTGGACCAGTACTCGCCGGCCTTCCCGGACACCCGCAGCTCCACGTGCTCCTCCGGGGAGGACTCGGTCTTCTCGCACGACCCGCTGCCCGACGAGCCCTGCCTGCCGCAGGCGCCGGCGCAGCGCGTTCCCGGCGCGCTCCGGCGGCTCTGAGCGCGCCGGCACCGAGCACGGAGGCGCGCTCCCTTCGTGTCCCTCCGGGCCGCGTCCAGGGATAATCCCGCCGGGATATTCCCGCCGGCGGCCCAGGCTTCCGAGCAGGAGTCTCCTGTACATAGCGGAAAAATATGTATAAATATGAATATATATTTACATGTCTTTTTCAAAGGGTTGTTACCAGAGATATACCAGTTGGGTAGGAAGGTACTAGTGGCTGGTAGATATCAGTTGCTATATATATATATATATAAAAAAAAAAAAAAGGAAAAAAAAAAAAGAACAAAAAAAATCATATATTTTGCTACTTTTGCCGTTTTTATTTTTTTAAATTATGTTCCCAACCTCCTTCAGTTTAGGTCCCTCGATAAGAATTGCTGCTGCTGCTGCTGCTTCAGTTTTATATGGGGTTTTATTAAGCAGTGCTCCTAACGTGTCGATGCCTTCCGGGAACCCGCTCTGCTGCTGCCGATGGCCTTTCCCGTCTCCCCGCGTGGCCCCGGGGAGAGGAGCCCCTCGGGCAGCCTCTTCTCGTGGCTCTTTTTGGGGGAAAAGAGCAGCCTGGAGCTCGCCCATCGAGTGCCTTAGGGCGGCCGGGGGAGCCGCTCGTCCTGCTCCTGCCCAACGCGTCCCGGCTCCGAGCGCTGCCTTTTCCTGGGAGCAACGAGTGCGTTTCGGGATGCGGGATGCTCAGGGTGCCGGGAAGGGACCCGCTCGCCCTGCCCCGCATCCCCCTCGATGCCGCAGGGCCGGGATGCTCTTACTTGAAAAGTTTTCTGTTGCCTTTGTATGGAGAAACGTTATTTGTTGTAAACTCTTCTGTAACGAGGCCGGAGTTGCTGTCGTGATTAAAAGCCTTGGAAGCGCCGCGGAGGCTCCAGTGGTGCCGGGGGACGCGGGAGGGCTCGGAGCGCCGGCGACGGGAGGGATGCTCCAGATCCGGGGCTCTGGGAAAGGGTGCGTGCTGGAGGCGGCCGTGCCGGAGCGGATTGTCTGCCCGCAGCCATTCCCATGGCAAGTCTCCATGGCGCCCCGGATCCCGGGATRCGGCTGCAGCGGGAGACATGGAACATCCCCAGCCACCTTCCTGGGATGCTCCCTGGCTCCCTGTGCACATTCTCGCCATGCAGCCTTGCCCCATAAATCCTGAGCCATAAATCCCAGCCTCTCTTGTGCCGAGGCCTCTCYAAAGCAGTGCTTTTCCTTGGAAAACCCATCTCCGGGAAGGTTCGGAGCCGTAGCAGACACGGGGCGGGAGCAGCCGGCTGCAGAGCCCGGCTGCTCTCATTACGCCCTATTTTGCGGTAGGAGATGTGCTCTTAAGATGCATTTAAAGAGCATCGGAGCAGCCTTTCCAGGGACCATTATTCCCGTGCAGGAAATGGAGGGCATTATCTCCGTCATTTTCTGCCCACTCCTTGCTGCAAGGCCGGAAAAGCTCCTGCCAATTTGGAACTCGGCTCCGACGTCGTCCAAGCCCTCGCGACAGCGGCCGCTAACCCTTCCCCTGCTGCTTCCCAACTCCYGTTTACATCCCGGCACATGGGGATGAATTCCCGGGGCTCTTGGCTCCAGGGAAAAAGGTCTCGGAGGCCAAGAGGTGGAAAAGCAGCTTTTCCATAATTGTTTTTTGCTCGTTTTGGCCGCTCGGGAGGGCAGGGCTGCCCGCTGAGCACATGCTCTAAGTGTGCCTGTTATCCACCTTTTCCTTGGGCTGCTCCCGGCTGCAGCGGAGCTCTGGAATTGGCAATCTCCTGGGGAAGGTTCCTTGTTAACCGGCACCGTCAGCTCCATCGGGAAAGGTGGATGGTGCCGGCGCCGCTGAGCTCTGCAGACTCCCCCCGAGTTCCCAGCCCTGCCTTGAGCTTGCTGGAGATAAAAGTCTGGAAGACCAGGACATTCCAGCTGCAGGGATAAGCACCACACTTAGGATTAGCCCAAGGTGCTCCCGAGAAAGCTGCAGCTCCAGGGAAGCTGCAGGCTGCTGCTACCTGCTGGCGGGARGCGGCAGTGGCACCGGGCACTGCAGCCATGTGTCCTCCATTCCCAATCCCGCTCCATTCCCCAATCCCGTGCTAGCAATAATTAACCCACGGATCCGACTTGTTCTCCGGCAAATCCACGGTGCGCTGGGAACACGCAGCACGTGGGGCCTTTGCCCAAGCAAAGGGAATGTGGGGGAGAAGCGGCTCCTGGCCCRGCCCTGGAGGTTCCTCCGCTGGTTTTTCCCTTCTCTTGGGAGTTGGGATTTGGTGTTTGCACTCACCGTGGCCGACGGGACACCAGGCAGCGCCTTGCACGGCCTCAGGTATCAGCGGTCATTCCCAGCCCATGGAAAACACTGCCCGAGGGTTGTTTGTGCCCAGATCCTGCGCGACCTCTTTGCGTYGGGCAGGAAAAACACGGCCCTTGGTAACAGCCACGTCAATTATCGACTGCTGGCAAAGACCGGGAGCTCGAGGCAGCCGAGCAGGGCCGTCGATGGGAATGGGATTTGGGAATGTATCTGTAAACTACAGCAGAGGGATCAATTCCCTCCAATTGGATTCGTATTAGCTGAACTACTCATCATAGAGCTGCAATTATGCAAGACCTTGTAAGCAAATCCGAGGGGATTTGAAGACTTGACTGTGTGGCAGTGACCTTCTGGTCATGGCACCTGCCTTCCTGCTTTTCCCTCTCCATCCCCAGCTCCCAGGGAAGTCTCATCAATCTATTACCCTGTTTCCCGAACTGCCACTGCAGCTTCGAAGGAAAAGTGGCTGCAGATGATGAAGCCCCATGACTGATCAGCTTCAGCAGACTTGTCCTGGTATTCAGAGCAATAACATATTCCAGTTTATTTCACGGCTTCTTCTCTCATCTTGCACTGTAAAAACCCTGGGCAACACCGCCCTGAGCCTGGGACCAAACACATTAACTTTCCTCCTGTCTGTAAACACAGAGCTCTCCCTGCTTGTCCTCATTTCAGGAATGACATCGGCCCATTTGAATCTTCAACAGCATGACAGGAACCATTTGCATTCGGCTCCTTCTGCRCTACTGACCTCAGTGTTCAACCCAGTGAATTTTGCACTGCACGAGGTCTGTCCTCAGCTCTTCGGGGAAAGGCTTTTCTGGAAGAAACAGSCTCTGCAGACAAGTCAGCTCTGCACAAATATCAGCAACTGTCAGTGCTATCAAGGAGATGAGAGCTGCTGCCGAGGGCTGCCCGTCAGCAAAGCAATGACCCCTGGCAACACCTCGCCCTGATACGAGGCAGGAGGGACACTTGAGCAACGGGGCGTTTATTGAAAGAACATTGCTCTTGTTTACTAACCRTCAGGTTTTAAAAAAACACAGGTATTCAGCACTGCAGGCTGCTCGGGGCAAGGAGGCAGAGATGCAGGTACAGAAACACGTTCACCCTAAAGCACAGCAAAATGCAAGCTCTTTTGCAAGCTCCTTCTGCATTAGTAAGAAGTAACACGTTTTAAGTGCTGATTAACTCCTGACTATCACCTGACTGGCTTTTCGGGGGGGGGGTTGGATTGTTCCCAAGGCTGTCTGACCTCKGAAAGAGACGTTGCCTTCTACTTAGCACCAAGTCTACCTTTAATTTGACGTTAAATATAAATATYCCTGTTTAATGTCCACAACGGGAGTAGCTCTTGAACATTTACAAAACCCAAAGCCCAAAAATGTTAACAAATTCTAAAAACAGCTTTTCATGTACAGTCTACTAAGAAAACAGGCAACACTGGAGCGTGTGAAGTATTACTTATAAAGTAGCAAGTCCAAGAGCACTTGCTGCTGCATAGTTTTGAGTGTGATAAGGTTTAACCACCAAGTTTTATCTCAAACTTGGCAAACATGTCTCCAGGTGGCCCTGTCCCCTCTCTTACATGGTCCTTTTGTGCACTGGTTACAGGTTAAACCACGCAAAGCAGGATCAAGATGTGTAAAGCAGCAGCAGGGAAAGCTGCAAGCCCTGGCTGCAGCACAATGGCCTCTCCTGCAGCTCCTGCCCTGCTCATCCTGTGCCCAGGGKGAAAATTCTCCTTTATGGAAATGAAAAGCTGTCTTACCTAAGGTTTAACAGGACCTACATCCATTTAGTAAGTAACAGCACAGTAACATAAGCATTTACATATTTACAACATAAGTTAAAATGGTGAGTGTAGGGATGAAGTGCAAACGAGGGGCTGGCTCCATCTAAACAGCAGGGCCTTGTGGCTAACAAGCTTGGGATAGACCAAGAGGCTCCTTGGGGCTACGGACACCTTTGCGCTCCTGGAAAACCGCTCTTCCAGCTGAAGGAGGTTGGGAGTTGCCAGCTTTCCTCTTCGTGGTGGACAATGCGTGTTGGCTTCACGCTAAGCTCCATTGGCGCTGGCCTTGCTGCTCTGGGACGCTTCCATTTTAGTCTAAATGTAAGAGAAAGCTGCAGATACAAACGTGTCCCAAAATCTGAATTSTATTTAATATGGAAAGCTGATAGAGTAACAGCTGACTAAGATCAAAGCTCCATGTGTAAACAGCTAAACTGAAATCAAATAGTCACAGAAAGAAAACGATACAGGGGAAAAAAAGGCAAGTTCATAGCAGAAATGTCTTTAAAGATGCAGAAAGAAAGTTAATACCATTCTAGCTCTGACTGAAGGCTGGTCTGCCTTAACCAGGTGGTTAAAAGTAGATGCTCGGGGAAGAATATGGACACGAACAGAACACGCCAATAATTCCCCAGGATGTTCTCCTACCTTCCCCCATTTGACTGGAGTCTTCCTCAGCCGYATGTGGTATCTTTTGTATTTAACAACCCTTGGTTCTCTTCTACAAATTACTCCCATCACTCCCTGACCTAAGTAACTGCACAATCTTGTAGCACAGATTTCTGCAGCTTGACTACAAGTTGTACAAAGAAAAATCCCATTTTGAACAGCCAAAGAACTTTGAAAATCTTACCTCTCGGGGCGGTGGCTTAACTGACACTTCTGAGACTGGCAGTTTCTCTGGCGACCGAGATACAAATTCTTCATTCTTTAAGAAAACAGGAGTTTAAAGTCAAGAAACCCATCTGGAAACAAGGCTGTAGCTAGACTCTGTGCAGTCCCTTCCCCTCCCTCCATAAGGTTWTTTCCCTTTCTCTTGGACTGCTCAACAGAGCTATGTGGAAATCTTCCTTACAGCTAACACCACATTCCCCTTCTATCAGTTTGGACTAACGAATTCTTCCCTATACTCAGAACTGTAAGTTTTGCCTTTCTTTAGCTATTTTGGGTATTTGCTGTGAACAAAAAGGCCCAAGTTCACTAGGAGAGCTGAAAATAATCACTTTTTTTTACCAGCTTCTGTTAGCTAAACGTACATAGACTGAAGCTGACTTCATTTGCTTTATGTGAATAATGCAATTAAAAGCTTGGGCACGTGCTGCTGGAAGCCAGTAACACGGCACTGAAGAAGCAGCTGCTTCCAGCAGGAGAACCGGACATGTCACAATGAACTCGTTACCTCTTCACTGCCTGTTACYTTAGGACAGTCACAGTGAGGCTCTCCAAATGCAAAAACATGCACACAGTGCAAGAATACAAGTCTTGGTTTTGCTCTGAGCAGTGGTATGAAATTGCCTTTTGTTCATCCCCCTTCTGGTTTTGGGAAGGTTTGCTCTTCCCAAACATCACAGCACTGTACRTTCATTTTTCTACTTGGAGACTGTTATCTTCTAACCTTCCTTCCCTGTACAACAGGGGCAGAATCCACTAGAGTCTCTTGATCCTCAGGAAGAGCCGGCATGACTTCTTCAGCAGTTTCATCCACCTAAGGAATTACACGTAACTCAGTGCAGTGTCTTCCTCCACTTTGAGGATGAAGGAACAAGTTTCATAYGTCTCAGTGCTTCATTTTTCATAATGTAAAAATGCCTAAACTTTTAACCTGAAGGCTTTATTCAGACAACTCACCTTATTTTGTGGTACCTGAACAGACGGTGGCTTTACATCTATCAAGTACARGGCACGGGAAAGCAGGAGCAGAGAAGGTGGAACATTCTCTTTTAAATGCAGATCTAGCCACTATTAGAAGAAAAAAAAAAGAGAAGAAAAATGTTTTATATTCACTTTAAAGAACACATTTAAACATTCTACTTGTTTATATAGTACTTGTCCTTGAATATCTTGTGGCCACTTTGGATTTAACTAATATAATTTTAAGTTAGCACAGTGAGAAAAAAAAAGCATTTTGAAGAGCTAGAATATTGTATGGAACAGATAATATCGAGGAAGCTTCCAGAGTTGAAGTCACTAGTGAAATACCAACATTACCACTTATGAACAGTCAATATGTTCAAATTCTGTACAGATTATCCAAAATACAGCACCTACATCAGTATCCATAATCCGAATGCTTATAAGACCAGCATTGGCTCCATCACAAGTCTTGGCTCTTTCAGAAGCTTAAAACATCTGTGTTTGCTGGGTTTCTAGCAGGGCCTGATGTTTTTGGGTTTCTCTCTGATCTCTTTTTGGCAGCCCAGACTCCACTTGCCTGCCTGAGCTGCTCCTTCAGCTGCTCTGCCGTGAGACCGAGCGACCGCATTCCCCGGGCTCTGCACGCACTCTGCAGTTCGGACACGCTGAGCCCACTGACTCCTTCCTTGGCAATCATCTGGAACAAAAAGCAGCATTCCTACCTGGGCATACTGTAAGCCACAGGAACTCCTTTTTTTTTTTTTTCTGAAATCTCTCACTGGAAGAATTGTCCTCCCGAAAATATTAACCTTCACACATCCCAGGATGGAGCAGGGGCAGCGAGCTGCTGGAGAGAGTCCAGCGCGGGGCTACGAGGATGATGAGGGGCCCGGAACATCTGCAAAGGCTGAGAGAGCTGGGCCTGTTCAGCTTGGAGAAGGCTGAGGGGATCGGATCAGTGTCTATAAACACCTCAAGGGAGGCAGTGAGGAGGACAGGGCRGCCTCTTTGCAGTCGTGGATAGCGATAGAACTAGAGGAAATGGCCACAAATTGAAGCACCGAAAGTTCCACAGGAACTTAAGGAAACACTTCTTGACAGTGAGGGTGCCAGAGCCCTGGCACAGGCTGCCCAGAGAGGCTGTGGAGTCTCTTTCCTTGGAGATCTTTAAAATCCGCTTGGATGCAGCCTGTGCCACGTGCTCTGGGTGACCCTGCGTGTGCAGGGGATTGGACTAGATGTCCTCTGAGGTCCCCTCCAACCTTAAGCATTCTATGATTCTATGCAAGACTGTGACTCAAAGGGCAGAATTCCGACAGCTAAGAAGCACACAGCCCACCTGAACAGCACCTGTGCTCCGTTACACCCACCTCATCGTCTGTCTTGATAGTCCTGAGTCTCAGCAGCAGCTGGAAGCGCAGCAGGTTGTTGGTGCCGATGGGCGGCAGCTCCAGCAGTTTGCAGAGGGCCACCAGCTGCGGCCGCTCCAGGTGCTCCAGGGTGAGCTCGTCCTCAAAGAGCTTGGAGAAGCGCACGATCTCCTGGGTGCTGGGCTGCTGACCGCTGTGACGAATCTCAAGGGCAAAGCAGAGGCACCGCAGTCAAAAGCCATTCCGACCGAAACGGAATCACCGTTTCCAAGCTCTCCTTCCCCTCCAAGGAGATGTCAGGTGTTTGGAAGGGATTAATGGGATACCCTCCTGCTTATCCCAATRACCAATTGCAAAGACCTCACCGCGCCGCTCGGTGCTGTCAAAGCTTTCTGCAGTCTCCACACAAATCCCACATTCTTTGCCTAAAACTAGGTAACTAAAAAGATGTCATTCATTGCTGCTGTCACTCCCAACAYACTTCATAGCCTGCTGCCATGCCCGCTTTACCTGGTGCACGTAGGAAGAGAACTGTTTTCCTTCTCCGGTATCTGCCTTGTTCCTTTTGGCCATCTCTGCAATGGTCTCCTGCAGGAACTTTGCCAGCTCCAGCTTTGCATTTAATCTCTTTTTTTGCTTTTCTTCCTTCACTCAGGAAACAAAACAGAATTAGAAATCCCACTTGGAAAGTGGGAGTGAGCAGAGTTTGGGGAAAGAGCAAGACTTTGGTACTAAATTCAACAGGTTTTGATTCATTTAGAAAATCCAATTGTTCAACACCACAGCTGCCAAGCCACTCCTGACATTTTTTTCAACTTTGAACAGCAAAAAATACAYGTCATTGTCATTCCCAGGACTTTTGCATTTTTCATAAATGCATAAACTTCCATGTTTCCAAACTTTTGAGGCTAGAACCATCTCATAATTGGTTTAGACACCGTATTCCTCAACTAGTGGCTTCATGGCTGTGACTCAATGCAATGGAGTGAAGAGTGTCTTCCAAACGGCCACAAACCTTTTTTGACTCCGTCTCAAATGTGGAGGGCAACATTTCCGGGAAGATTTTCAAGAATACGGGTAAGAGAAATTCCATGAAGGGCACAATGACAAACACCAGGAAAGGGAGCAGCCGGAARAGGTCTGCACACGTTCTCAGCAACTGCACAGAGAAGACAGCAGCACAAATTAGTATTCAATGCAAAATAAAAAGACACTCTAAAGAATGAGGGGTTACACTTGTTTCGTTATTAAAACTTCAACTTTAGTGTATTTTACAAGGTGAKCAGCACTTACCCTGCGTCTCTCCCTCCTAGTGAGGACCTGCCCGTGTAACAACCTCCACAGCATCCTGGCCGCAACCTTAGTGTCGATCCAAAGCAAGTGGAATCCGTTGGAGTAATGCCTCAGCTCATCCACAATTTTTTGGCGTAACGACCGTTTCCCCGCAGCGGCCTCCACGCCGTGTTTTGCTGGAGTTTTGGGAGGCTCRGGGCTCCGTTTCGCAGCGTTTGGGCCGGGCGGAGGTTTTTCCTGCAGCTGCCGGTGAGCGGCYGTGTGAAAGGTGCGCGCGACGCGAGAGCCCGAGCGGGCGAGGACGGCGCCCGGCTGCGGGGCCRTGGAGTGTCCGATGCAGCTGATCCAGCTGAAATGAGGATCCACGGCTTGGACGAGAGCAACGGCGGGAGCATATGGAGAGCTGGAGTGCACGAGGAGATGGGAGGCTCTGAAAGCGGAGACGTGTTTAAGGAGGTAACGGCGCATTGAGATGGAGCTGACTCCAAATTACACCTAATTCAGGCTCTTGGTGCCAGATTGATCTTGGGGAATTGCTCGAGACTCCCTCAGTACCCGAGCCTCTGATCCTCGGTAAAATACTGCGAATCTGCCTCATGTTATTAATTTTTCCCTGAGAAGAGTAACTCCAGACTTGAGAGCTCTTCTAGACAGCCCTGCTAGTGGCTGCAGGGTTAAAATTTGCCAGTGACAAAATAAGAAAAAGGCAAAACATTATCTTTTTCCCCATTTTTTTTTGAAAATAACTGCATTTGCTGTCTCTCATAATCCCCCTGCAACACACTCAGCTGGAAAAGACACACTGGACACTGGAGAGGGAGACACGCGGTTATAGAACTGGAGCTCTCATTTGTAAAAGGACAGGATGAAAAGCCCACAGCAACTAATAAGGGTTATAACAACTGCAGAAAAGCCTGGGGTTTCACCCAAATCCAAAGGAATAGCAACTGTGCTTGGCGAGCTGACCTCTTGTGGAAGTTTGGGCCATGACTGTGCTCGTTTAAAGCATTAGTTTTGCCCTGGGTTTGCAMAGTATGGAAAAAACAAAACACAGGGCAGCACCGGTCTCCATTTACACGGAGTGCCAGGGCGCAGGAGAGGAAGGAGAGCGTGGCGGAGCACGGCCACCTCAGTGGATAACGTGGTAGGGAGCTGGGGTGAAGGCTGGCAGGAAGGAGCGGCACGGCGGGGCTCCCGGGATGCGGGGCGCGCTGCTCCGTCCCGTCCCATCCCATCCCGTCCTACCTGGCGGCGGCGCGCAGGACGCTGCAGCCGCGCAAGGCCATGGTGTCCCGTTGTCACCGTGACCGTCCCAGCGGCATTCCCGGGAGCCTCGCGGAGCCGGCGTCGCTGCAGGGGGCCGAGCGCTGTGCCGGGGCCATGGGGCGGCCGCGCGGCCGGAGCGTCGCTGTGGAAAGGGACAACATCGTTGTCAGCGGGGCCGGGGCCCCACGGTGAGGACGGAGYGGGGGGTCCCGCCGCGGGTCCCCCCGGCCGCCCAAGGGGGCTGATCCCCCACCCCTGTCCCCAGAAACGCCGGGAAGGACCCGGGGCTCCTGCTGCAGATCCCCCTTCTTGTCCCCCTGGTAAAGCCGGGACACATCCAGGTGCTGACCCCCCCTGCCCTCCC